ATATATATATATATATATATATATATATATATATATATATTGCTTAATATTCTATTCTTTCTTTTCCATACAATATTAACCAATTTTCAAAACTAACTTGTGGTATCTTCTTGAACTTCTCTTTAAATCTGTATTTCATGGTTGCACTTTCTCATGGACCCAGCTGCCACTGGGTGGGCAAGGCTAAGGAACTCATGTGTTCCTGGAAGTCTGTGCCAAGGAACTCCACCATAATCACATAATAGCTGCTCAAATATTTCTGGTCTTTCTGGCCATTTTAGCTATTCTGGCCAGGAACCTCCCTGATCAATGTCCTCACACCTATTACTCAATTCTTAAGTTTGCTGTAACTCAAATTTTATGAGTTTAACTTCCTGGGAAGGTCATTGTGCATGGGGTCATCATTTTGAGTAAAAAGGAGTGGTTTAGGGGTAAATTGTTTCTAAAAAAAACCCAGGATTCCAAGGAAAACCATCGTTCTTTTTCCATGGCTGTTGTTAAAATTTTGCTTTCAAAATTATCATTTTTTTTCTCAGCCTTAGAACTCTGGCAAAATGCTTATATTTAATAGGCCAATGCTTCTGCTTTCATTCAAACACTAATATTTCAGAAGAAAATATTTATATAATAATTAATCAACCTTTAAATCCTTCCCTACTGTGTTTGTGGTATGGCAACCTGAGTAACTATCTACATGTAGGCCACAGATTAAGGACTATCCATTAGCAGAATATATTTTTTTATGGATCTGTCTATGCATTTGAATGGCTTTCTCTCAACACTGAAGACCCAAATTGACTTACCTGTCCCACTCATTTTCAAGGTCTGGAGTCAATGTGGACACTCATTCCTCTTAAAACGTTCAAGAGGAATTAAGGCTGAAAATTTGTCTGACGTTGCTTAGTAACCTGAGTGTAAGTATGGCTTTGAAGAGCACTTTGCTTCTACTGTTTTTCTGCAGTTTTCCTGTGTGTTTGAGACTAGCTGACTCCTCCATATTCGCACAGAGATTTCCCAGTGTCTATGCATGTGTGCATGTCTGTAAGCTGGTGAGCCTAATGTAGGTGCAAAACAATCATGCGGCATTCTCGCTCACTTATCCTCTCACAGCCATGATGTGAGGGACCGGGGGGATTTTTATATTCCAGAAAGTACTGTTATGATTTCTCAGGTTCCCTTCTCCCCTCAAGAGACGTGCCCTGCAGTTCCCAATATTTCAACTAGGGATGCATTTGTCAAAAGAGAGTTGCTCAGATATCATGTCTACTGTTCCTCGGAAGAAAATAGTGGATAAGCCCGTCTGAATAATGAGACATCTTTTTCTCCCTGGAGTCATTAGCAGAATACACTGTTCTTTTTCTCCAGCTCCATGGGTTCTATCGGGCAGAATATTTGATGTAAAGTTTCTCCAGCAGTGCACTCTCACATTCAAGCCTGAGGCTAGAGCATTTTGACTGCTCCCATCCAGCTGCTTTTCAGTCTGCTCTCACCGATAACTCTATTATAATATTTATAATGCTCTATTAAACTGAGAGTTTCCTTTCCCCACAGACACACCAAATTAACCTCCATCTTTAGCTCATGCTCTTGAGAGAGGGCAGACTTTTAACCAAGAGGATCACGACTGAAGTGGTTTGCCAACATTATGACCACTGGAGCTAAAAAAGAGTGTCCCGTCTGCCTTGGCTTGGCTTAAGGCCACCAGAGGCACAGCTGGAGTTGTGCTCACCACAGCAGCCAGGTGAGTCTTGGGGATGCTCAGGGACTGGAGCACTTGCATTGTTTTTGTTTGCTTTGGACGCCGAGTTTATTCTTGCTAATGAGGCAGGTGAAGTTCTGATCACAGTGTTTGCAACCCAGTGTATTCTGAAATCAATCAAACCTCTTTCACCTAATGAAAATAGCAGAAATATAAAACTGTTTTTGAGACACATTAGGTGACATTAACAGTATGGTGACAGGAATGAAATGAGTTGAAGTTGGGTCAACATGAGAGATGGGTCCTTGAGACTTATTCTTGCCAAGATAGTTGCTGTAAGCATTTTTATAATTGCAATGGAGGTGCCATCCTAAGGACACGGTGGCTATTGTGGAGGCCACGTGAGGTCATGCTAGAGTGAACATGAAAGTGAGTTGGCAGGGACTCCTGAGAACTCAGAAGGCTGAGTTCTGTCATCTCAGTGTAGAGAGTTTTCCAGGAAAGGCAGTGACTGGATAGCAAAATAGTAAATGGGAGCAAAATAGTAAATCTAGGAAACCAACCAAGGCAAAAGTCTCTAGCAGATAACAGAGGCCCAGGCATGTGGGCAAACGCTCAACATCACTGATAACAAAATTTATAAAATAGTATCTATTCTGTGCCATAAACTATATTGATGTATTATATCATTTAACTCAGATCCCAGATAAAAAGTTTCTCTTTTAAAGTGTATGAGTGTGGCATTTTATGGTCCTATAACAGGAGATGCATATCAGAAAGAAAGTTTTAAAGTTTTTAGAATGAAACCACAGTGAAATTCAGGTCACACAGAGGTGTTGTTTTCTCCCAATTAAGCCAGAAAAAATCAGCATGATACTATGTCTTTTCAGATTTTATAGCTGAGTTTCAGTTGGTTAACGAGTGAAAAAATGATAAAGCAACTGATGAAAATTACTGGAGGGAAATTGTTGGAACTATATATAATCAGGTTGGAGGAAATTATATCCCATGGTGAATGCAGGCCAGAATGGTGGGAAATAGACTCAGACAAAAATGAAGTTGCTCAGGAAGTTTGAGGAAAGTCATAATCAACTTGTTCAAGATAGAATGTATGTGTCAGAAAAAATGCTTGTGTAAATAAATCTTTGAGTGATCATTTATTGAATATATAAATAAATAAAGCTAAGAGGTAATGAAAGCTTAATTAGGAGTATTTTTCTTTTTTAGAGTTTGATAAAATAATGTTTCTTACAATAAGTGGTGTTCTCAATTTTTTTTGAAATATACATTTTATTTGGCTTACCTGTTTGTCTACTTCAGCATATGACTTCTCCTAAATTGTTTGGCAAACTTAATTGCCAAAAAAAGAAGAAAAAAAAAAGGGAAGCAAAAGAAGAAAAGCACTGATGCAGCGGAAAACAATTTCAGCAGTAATCCGCTGGAGCACTTGCATCTCAGTCAGTATAAATGGCTTTTAGTCCCAGCCTATTGACTCAATATGTACAGAAATTTTACATTAGAAAATTGCACTTTTTATCAGTTACAGCTGGTAACAAATAGCAAATTAAAAATCATTATCGGGGGTGTATTTCATAGGAGGGAAAATATTACAAACTAAAAATATTACAATGAACAACTTAAAAAGAACAAGCAAGACAGCATTTGGTATATAAGAAACTAATCATAGTAATGCCAACTCATCAGGACAAATGCATATATGTATCTTATTTAAAGAAAATATAGACTGTTGAATGTATTTTGGAAAGATATTTTTCTTTTTTCTTAAATTTATCTCTATTGTTGAAAGTACTGCAGGTGGCCCCCCTTTTCCCATATTGATCCCCTCCACCCCGCATATTTTCTCCAAGAAAAGTTTTTTTATAATGACACTAAAAACAGGTAAATTTCAAGTACTCTGAAACCTCATTTCAGAACCTCTTTCCCCAATGATGACAAATAAATTAGTTTTTAATTTGTTAAAAACTTTTTAATAAAAAAATTTAAAGCCTTCTCTGTTTTAAAGAGATACTCATTTTAGTTTGTTGGACAAAAATCATACTCAAAATAGAGCTCAGCAACAGGGAGAATTACTGTAGTTGTGATGAAAGATTTAGTAAGATGTTAAATTTGACAATCTGAAAGGAACATAAGTTGGATAGGCAAGCCAAAGATAAAATTAATAACAAAGCCAGGCAATTTCAATGCAAACTGCCAAGGTCTATTCCAATTATAGTTCCATCATCACTTTTTGGAACACTAACTGTCTACGTGAGAGAACAGAAGATGACCCAGCCCAGATTTCTCTCAAACAGCAAAATTAACTACCACAGCTTGAATATACTAGCAGGGAAATAATGTTTCTGCTCACTCTCATAACAACTGAACTACACTTTTAGCTTCTGTTTCTACTTTATTCCATGCTGTTCTAAGAAAATGCAATAAAATAATTCTCTTGGAATTTTTTTTTGTAGGACGGATATATGTTGGCTTTGTTTTTAAAGAGACAGTCTTTGTGTAGGTAGACAGTTTTTCCTTCTTAAATTTTAATTATATAAGTCTATATAAACTTGAAGTCACAGTGTGCTTTCCAGAGCTAGATTGGATAAAGCAAAAATGAGTAGTTTTCCAGAGTTGTCTTAAAGGGCAGCTAGTGGAGGGTCATATCTTCTTTATATGACGGGCACAATTAGTGAGGACTGATCTGAGGTTAATTTTACATGGAGGGGTCTCCAGTTGCCTCTTCACCAATTCATTTAATTGTTCATTACTCAGCAAGGTTTTCTGAATTTATACTTTCGGGAAGGAGATGAGAGAAGTTTGAATAAATCACGCGCCCTCAAGAAATTTCTGGTTAAGTTGAAGGTGATATACCTGTCAAAAATTAACCACAATGCAATATTGTTATATTATATTCATTTGTTCCTTCATTTTTTAAATTCCTTCATTTATTCATCCATTTAATAATTCACTTAGCAAACAGTTAATGAACACTATTGTTGTGTTTCAAGCACTCCAGTGAATGCGAAACTTAATAAATTCCATTCCATTATTTAAAGAGGACACATTCTAGAGGTAAAATCTTCAAATGGATGTAATTAAGGGGATAAAGAAGGTAGATTGCAATATTGTTCCTGAAGAGTCACTCACCTTTCCAATAAAAGGACTATTCATTCTTGACTATTGTCGCAGCTCATGCATGGCCTTCTACTGATACTGGGTTGGTCCAACGGCATGTGACTGGAAGTGATGAACACTGAATCCAAGAGGCAACTTTAAGAGCTGTTGTGAATTTTTACCAGCTTTTTAGTTATTGTTCTCTTGCTAGAAAAAAAGAGGACTTTAAATAGAGGCTTGCCCTTCAGTCTGTCCTAGAGTGAAAGAGAAAATGCACAGAAAAGAGTTCAGCAGCCAGTCCTCACCCGCTTACGTAAAAGAGTTGAGAAATGAATTTGTTGTAAGCCATCGAGATATTTTTCTTTTCTCTTTTCCTTTCGTTTGTTGTTGTTGTTGTTCTTATTGTTGTTAACAGTGTAAGACTAATACCATGCTATTCAACTTTACCTAACAAATGCTGAAAATTATTTATTGAAAAGGTTCTCAGTAATCTGGATTTTGAAAAATTTATACCCAGTCACCAATAGAAAATGGTTCTTATCATTTAAAACAGCATGAGAAAACCCAAGGAAGTGCTGATAAGGAGGTTATGTTTGGAGAAAAAGATAGATGTTGGTGAAATCTAAGTGAAAGAAAATATTTAGTGAGAAATTACCCTGAACAGAGAAACAAGAGTCATGCTTTGTTTGCTATTTGAAAGAGTTAGCAGGATTATCCTCAAGCAAATAAGAAATTAAAGAAGGGTTTTAAACAGAAACAAATAATTTTGTATTTCTGAATATATTTTATGGTATCACTACTCAGAATCCTTTGGGGACATACACAATTACACAGAGAGATAGAGATATTACACAGAGAGATGAAGATTATGGTTCATTGAAGAAATTATATTTGAAGCTATTTAAAAATATGAGTGCTTTAATTTACTTGGGTTGCTATAACAAAATACCACAGACTTGGTAGCTGATAAACAAAAGAAATTCATATCTCAGAATTCTGGATTTCTGGATGTTGGAAGTCCAAGATCAGGATGCCAGTATGGCTGAGTTTTGGTAAAGGCTTCTTTCTAGTTCATAAACTGTAGACTTCCCATTGTGTCCTCACATGGTGGAAGGGGCTAAGGAGCCCTATGGGGTTTCTTTTATAAGGGTGCTAATCCCATTCATGAGGGCTCCACCCTCATGGCCCAATCACCTCCCAGAGTCTTCAGGAGGCCAGTAGTGGGAAATGAAGCTAAAAGGCAAATAGGTAATTGGGTCATCAAAAGACTAACTTATGCCACACAAGGACATCTGAATGTAATTCACACACAATTTGAATTTTAGAGAGAGATATCCATGGAGCATGGATTGGAAGCAGACAAAGCTCTTACTAGGAAGACTACTTAAGGTGTTAGAGTAGCAGTCCACTAGAACAAAGGTAGTGGCAACGAAGACAAAGACAACTGCATCGGAGAAATGTTCAAGGTGAATTGACAGAATTTGCTGATTATTTGGTGGAAAGGAGTTGGAATTAAAGTTGACATCTGGATTTCCTACCACTGTCTAGTTTCATACCAATTGTGGGTGATTCTATCCAACACAACTCAGAAGCCAGGAGGTGTTGCAGATGTTCTTTTAGGAAAAAGATAACGTAACAGGACACCAGGCTTAGCCAGAACTCAGTACCCCGCTCCACATGGACTTTCTCCCACCCCATGGACCAGCAAGGGTCTGGCAAAAAGGCACCTACCTAAATTGAGAAGTCCTAGGTTCAAATATTTTCTTTTTCATTTGTCAGTTTGGGATCTTAATCTTTTGCATTTTCAGGGTCTCAATCTGACAAATGCAGATAAGTACACTGATTTTGTAGGTTATGTGGGAATTCAGAGACTCAATGTATGTGAGACTATTTAAAGCTAACTTCCCCTCTCTCCCCAGAAATATAAG